GCTGCTTCACCTTGCACTTCTTATATTAAGGAGATGGCTTCTTTCCTTAAGCCTCATGAACCCTGCTAGCTTTAAACTTTTCCCTGTAGCTTCCTCACCTCTCTCAGCCTTCATAGAATTGAAGAGCGTTAGGGCCTTGCTCTGGATTAGATTTTGGCTTAACAAAATGTTGTGGCTGGTTTGATCATCTCCTCACTAAAACTTCATATCAGCAATAAGGCTGTTTGGTTTTCTTATCATTTGTATGTTTACTAGAGTATAGAGTAGCACTTTTAATTTCCTTCAAGAAAGTTTCCTTTGCAGTCACAACTTGGCTGTTTAATTCAAGAGGCCTAGAGTTCAGCCTATCTTGGCTTTTGACATGCCTTCCTCACTAAGCTTAATCATTTGTAACTTTTGATTGAAAGTGAGAGATGTGCAACTCTTTCTTAAACTTGAACATTTAGAAGCCTGTATAGAATTATTTATTGGCCTAATTTGTATATTTTATGTTATAGGAAATAAGGCCAAGGAGAGGGAGAAAGATGGGGGAATGGCCTGTCAGTGGAATGATCAGAATGCATATAACATTTATTAAGTTAGCTGTCTTACCTGGGTGTAGTTTATAGCACCCCAAAACAATTATAATAATATCAACACATCACCATATTAAATATGATAATAATAAAAAAGTTTGAAATATCTAAAGTGACAATACCAAAATGTGACACACAGACACAGAGGTGAGCAAATGGTATTGGGAAAATGGTATTGGGAAAATAACAGTAGAGTTATTCAACACAGGGTTCCCATGTACCTTCAATTTGTAAAAAACACAGTATCTGTGAAGCACAATAAAGCAAACTGAAATAATACCAAGTATGCCTGTGCATGATTGACTCCAAAACAGAGGGCCAGTCAGTGATAAAACTGGGACCCACGAGTTCTGATTTCCATTCATAGAGCTCTTTCACCTGCCAAGTTGCTCACATGAATGGGTGGGGGAAAGTGCCAAAAGATTTCTCTTTGAAGCAAAAAAAAGAAAAAATATTTAATCTTTTCATAGTGTAATTTGAAAAAAAATATTCAGCTACAACAATGCACCATTGAACCCCTTTAATCCATTTTGAGACACTTATCCTTAGAATCTAAAATATATCTGCAAACCATAGCCAACACGCCAACTCAAGCATACCACCCATTTTGTACAGCCTGCAAATACAAACTGAGAATAGTTTTTTCCTTTTTTCAATCATTAAAAAGAATCAAAGACTAATACTTTAGTCCATATGAAATTCAAATTCAGTATCCATAAATAAACTTTTACTGGAACACGGCCACATTCATTTTTTTCTTGTCTCTTGATGTTTTCAAGCTGCATTTGCAGAGCTGAGTAGTTGCTGCAGCAAAGACCATATGGCCCGCAGAGCCTAAAATATTTAGTTATCTGTCCCTTTACAGAAAAGTTTGTTGACCCAGATGTAAATGAAGGAAAAACTATGTACATGGAAATGTTTATTCATGCATTTTTTAGTAATAATAAAAAATAAAAAGCATGAAAATGTCAATCATGAGTATGGTCATTTGAATTTTAATTTAATAAATTTATGTGTTATTTGACTATTAAAATTATAATCTAAAAGCTACTGATATAAAAAGTTTATATTATTTGAGAGGTTTAAGGGATAAAAAATCCTTTTTGTGTCATTTGTGTGAACATAGGTAAGATTAAAAATAATTTGCAGAAGTAAACATGGCTATAGTACTGAGATCAATAATTTTTCTAACATTTTTGTAGTATTGTTTTCTATTTTAGAAAGAAATAAAAACCTTTCACTAGTTTCTTACCCAGCATCATCAGGGAATGTCTTAGGTTATGTAATCAAATGTTTCATATGATAATTACAGTATATGAGCTACCTTTATCAAAGACTTCTGGAATGATGGGTTAGAATGGACCTTAATTTTCTCTAATGCCTGCATATTATAGGTGAGGGATTGATACTGAAGCTCAGAAATGTCCAATAGAGTTTATTCTCTCAAAACTTAAGAATTGTCAGTAAATGCATCGACAATAAATACATTAACTTGAATGTATAAAATGGCAGGATGATAACTATGTTTTAAATCCTCCCTGAAGTCCAATTAGCTTAATTTAAATGATCAATTTAAGTTCACCACCTGTTCCCACCCAGTTGTCCCATACATATTTCCTGGTCTCTCTATGCATAAATCCCTCCTTCTAACTAGGCTGCTTTTTTTCCCAGTGACCTTCAACTGTACCTTGTATACCCAGCTCTGGTCTTTGGCATTCATAGTCCCTGGCTTTCATTTGGTGGTTAGCCAAGAATGTATTGTTAGGTAGGTGTGTTTATTTTCTATTACTGCTGTGACAAATTACTACAAACTTAGTGGTTTATAGCAACACAAATTTATCATCTTGTACTTTGGAAGTCAGAAATCTAAATGTGACTTCCTACACTAAAATCAAAGTGTCTACAAGGCTGTGTTCCTTCTGGAGGCTCTGGGATAGGATCCCTTTCCTTTTGCCAGCTTCTAGAGGCCACTTGCATTCCTGTCTTACTGTCTCCTCCTCCATCTTCAAAGCCAGCATCATAGCTTCCTCAGGTATTTCTCTCTGAGTTTGACCCCTCTGCCTCCTTCCCATAAAGACCCTTGTGATTGCAAGGACCTGCTTGGATCCCAGTCTCAAGATCTTTAACTTAATTACATTTGCAAAGTCTCTTTGCCATGTAAGCTAATATTCACATATTTCAGAGTTTTGGTTGTGGACATCTTTGGAGGACCATCATTCTGCCTACCACAGTGAGTTTTGCTTGGTAAAATGAAGAGTTTTATTTTTTTCTCTTTGCAATAATAATAATATATATTTAGTGTTAGTTTAAAAAGTACAATTAAGCACACACAAAAAAAGAAAAACCTCATGTACCTAAAGGCACCCTTTTGATATGTATCCATCTTGTCCTTTATATTTATGTGTAATGATTTTGTTTCAAAAATAATTTTTTAAACTGTTGATGGAGAACATTCCTAAACTGCAGGCTGCCCACCTCAGTGATGTCTCCAGCAAGCCTGCCATTTCTGAGTCACTTCATGGAAGTGCTCAGAAAAACATGAGAAAAACAAATATCTGGGAGAATGAGAAGTGGATACGACATTCCTTTTATAGAAAGAGAAAATTTCCTACCAAACATTTAGAAATAGGTATGTTGCACGTGATTTCACTATTTAGGTGTCCTGAGGATCATTTAAACTACTGACAGCAAAACTCATAGTTAAAATGGTCCAGAAGTGTTTTATGTTACACTGATACTCCTACATTGGGTCTATGGTTCCTTTTATTTATTCGTTTATTTAAAAAGCACTACAGCTATAAATAATTTGGTACATTATACTGGTCTGAGCTCTTATTTAAAAGGAATGGGGGAAAGCATGTTACTTTTTTTTTTTCATGTTGAACTGAAATTGGAAGTTTGTTTTAGTCTGCAAATTCTTACTACCAAGAAAAATGACCTGGTTGCTCAAAGTGCTGAAATAGTTGACCATCATAATGACTCGGTGGCCACACCTGCAGAATTCTCAACTGACTAGCATCTTTGAGCATCTAAATCTTGTGCAACCTGTTGTAAGTCTCCGTGGGGATGACCTAAGAAACTCCTCCTGTTCAGTCTGCACTGAACGCCTTCCCCATAAGATAGAGTATCAAGGAGAGCAAGAAAGGGAAGGAGGGAAACAGGAGGAAGAACACTAGGTAAAGTAATTGGATTTTCACCGGTTCCGTCACCCTAATTCTACAGGGCTATGTGAAGAGGGCCAGGTGACACCTACTATACAGTGGGTTGCATTAAAGGGGAGGAACTTTGAGCTTAGGGAACATGAGTCTTACATAGTGAACAATTATTAATAAGGTATTGGAGACACTATTCTTACACTGCACATTAAATGACCTTGACCTTTGTTCTGGAAAGAGACACTGCACTATCTCTGCCCTCCAAGGCTGTTTGCTAGACAAACACCCCTGAAAAGATAATCCAGAACAAAGATTTTGAGCCTTGGCTTACAAGATGTACAAAAAGATGAGAGGCTGATGGAGGACTGTCTACTAACACTGTTATCTATAGATACATGTTTATTTTCCGTCTTCACCAAAAAATATGAAACTCCATGAGGGTAGAGATTTTTGTCTGTTTTGTTCAATTTTCTATCTGCAGTATCTATAACAGTGCCTGGCACACAGTAGGTGTTCAGTAAATATTTGTTGGATTAATATGAATTATTTGTTCCACTTTCTAATGATATATTTAGGAATGATGAGAAAAAATTATCACAGTATATAAATAATATGTATTTCTACTAATATAGCTCATTTGTATTTTGATATTATGCTTTATTATGTTGTGAAAGTAAATTTCCATTTTGACACTGATCTTTATTTTATTAAAGCTACCAAATTTAAAAAGCATGGAAAAGGAGATTTTTACCAAAATATGTTGTGGATTTTAATATGGCTGAGGCCTTTGAAACGAGGTGTGTGTAAACACAGATCAATATAACAGTGAATGCCATGGCATATTCAGTTATGATGTACCACATGGATTTAATAAAAATTTCAGCTGAATTTTTTTTTTACTGTGGGTCTGAGTGGTTAGATCAATTTTGCTAAGTTCAGTACTTGGTTTATGCTACAAATTTTCCATTTGTCCTTTAGGTTTACGTAATTCCCTCAGTTGTATCCAAAATGGGACTATTCATCTCTTTAAGTAGTCATAATTGTATTAAGTTATGGGGCAATGTCGGGCTGTATTATAGTTCAGGAAAAGAGTGTGACTAGCTCTGCCACTAGTGAGCTCTTCAGCGCTGGACAAGTTCCTGAGTGTCTGTAGCACATTTCCATTGTACTTTGAAGAAATCAGAATAGATGCTTTTCTAATGTTCCAATTCTAGATCTTGTGGGTTTGAGGATATTCAGACACCTATTGCAATTGTTACTGTGTTTTCAGGTGATGTCCTAGTTGCTGTGAATGATGTTGACGTCACCTCTGAGAACATAGAGAGAGTTCTGTCTTGCATTCCTGGACCTATGCAGGTGTGTACATTCTTTCCTGTATTTTATGGTGAATAATATAAAGTAAGTACATCTTAGACTGTTTCCTTTTTTTAAGATTCTGAAATTATGTATTATGGATAAGTTGCACTTACATACGTGGCTATTTAAAAATTTTTAGTTCTTGCTAACATGTTTAGCTTTTGGACATTGTTCTAAAAAGACAGAAATACTACAAATAAAACTCATTGTACATAAAGCAAGAACAATAATAAAAAAAGATATCTAATGACCAACTTGCCATTATAACTACTGTATATAATGATGAAAATCAGTTCCTAGAAAAGTCATTTTAAGCAATCACGGAATTTTCTATTCTCTGACTTATTAAAATCACTGTTGCTATGAAGTTGGGGGGTTTTAATGTGATTTTGTTTGTTTTAAAAACTAATTACACATTGTTTTTTAATTTATCCATTATCTAGTTTAGCCTTACTCCTCAGCTTTTGTTTAGCTACTTAATGTATTTTTTATTACTTGTAGGTAAAAATAAATCTCTTTCAAAATAAGTTATTTTGACACTCTAAGAGTTGACATTTTGTATCACAGATGACATTTTTAGGTCATTACCTGTATTTTGAAACTGCTCTACACTCTGTTGACAAGTGCTGTGCTCCTGTTAGCATAGGAATTTGTTTTCTCTCTTTGAGAGATTGGAAAGATGACAAGGTTTAAGGAGACTCCATCAGGCAGCGACAGGATGAAGCAGTTTTTTTGATTGATCAGGATGAACAATAATGCCTGATAAATCAGAACCTTCCTGTACTTGATTTGAGACTGAAATAAAAGGACCCATGACAAAACTCCTTCTTCACTAATAAATAAGATTTCTCTTATGTTCACTTCCTTCTCTTAACACACACACACACACACACACACACACACACACACACACACAACCCTGCAAATGCTATAAAGTAACTATCTTTGGAAATGTAAAATGAAAGCACTAGAATACCTATGGTAGCCAGTGATCAGCAATGCCTAGGATTAGACTGAAAGATGTAGTGAAATACTAAAAATCAAGCAGGAGCAGTCCTGTATGCTGGAGTCGGGCGTGCTGTTATTCCCTTTAGTTGCTAAGTGTCAGGAGGTCCTAGGGTAAGCAAGGTGCTAGGGCACCTCAGAGGGCTCAGACAGCAGCTACTTACCAATCCGTAATGAAGAATTCCAGTACTTTAACAACTGAAACAGCATCATCTAAGGAAACTGGCTGTGCATCAGCCCTGAGTGAGGGCTCCTCCTCCCTTGCCTGTGTCAGGTGTAGGTGTTCCACCAATATTGCCAGAGTTTAACCACATCTCTTCTGTCTTCAAAAGAAATTGTTTACAGTGGAGTCAAATTATACTTATGTTTAATTAACAGTTGCAGATTTGGCTATGTACACTCAACGGGAAAGAAGAGAAAGAAATAGTGATTTAAATATTTTGGACTACTTACACCTACCACTTACATGTCCTCATTAAGCATGAAGTAGGACTATAATATCTGCTGTTTGCCCACTTTGTCTTTTATAGCATGAGAATCTTTCTGCACTAAATGTGTTTCTGTGTTTAAACACACACACGTACGTATTTTATACAACATGACTTTTAAGTGCCAATATATACATCTCATCCAAAATGAAGAAACAGAAGTTTAGTTTAATGATGGAAGAAAAACTGACTGTTATGAGTTATATTTAGTAAATGAATAGAGTGTGTTGTACCCCAGCACATCTTTGTTTCCTTGGGGATTTTTTGTGCAATTTGAGAATATAATCCCTTCATAAGATGCATATTACTAAAATCTTTTTATTCTTTAAGAAAATAAACTTTTTTCTTGTTATAAGAGTAATACATGTTCATTGTAGAAATTTTGAAAAATATGAAAAGGACAAAAATATCTTAAAATCTCACCACCTGAGGATATCTACTATTAACATTTTGGAATATTTCATTCTAGTTAACCCTCACCCGCCAAGCATAAACATGTTTGCTTTTGTCTGTTTTACTAGCAGAATTGGTATTAATAGCCATTTTATTAATTTAGGGTAAGCACCAGCATTTAGGGTAAGGTATCTTTAATAATGATTTAGAAAAGTTAAAATTCTTTTAACTAGAAATCATGTTTAATTAGTAAACCACATTTTTCTTACATCATTAGTGTAGAAATTTGGAGTGAACTACAAGCTTTTCATTACCAGCCCTGTAAAGTAGGAAGTTCGGGGAGGGCAGGAATAGAAGCGGGAGGGGAATATATGCAGTATATCGGTGTTTTACTAATACCATTTCCTTTATGCCTCATAACAATCTGTAAGATTCCAATAATTTGTTTTCCTATTTTATACATTAAGGAAAGGAATCTAAGAGAGATTTAACGATTTGTCCAAGGTTGCAGAATTAATAATTCAAACAACTGGAACTGGAACTGACGCCAGAGCATGACTCTTCTATTTCTCACATAAGCTACGCGGATTGCTTTTTTACTGGACTGCAACTAATTGAGGTGCACTTATCCCAGAAAAAGCTGTTTTACCTGGTTTGTGTTTGTGGCATCTGAAACAATTACTCAATCAATAAGAGAAGAAGAATGCTGATTTATAAAGAATACCATAAGAGATTTTTTAACATTTAAATTTGGAAATATCTAACAGAAACATTTTAAACTTATATTCTATGTATAAAATGGTTGAAAGTATCTCATCGTCCCACAGAAGATGGCCTGGGAGATAGTGTAATGTGATAGAAAGGTTACTCAGGAGAATGAGGTCAGATCTCCATGTTAACTTCACTTTGAGCAAGTTGCCAAACTCTTCGGGGTTTCAGTTTTCTCATCTATATCAGAGGGGTTTTGAGCGAATATATCTATGAGCCCATTTCTAACTCTACAGTTCTCTGTTTGATTTTTTAAACTAAGTTCTGTTATAAATAGAGTCAGAATGCCACAGTGAAACCCAGAGGTAAATCCTGTATGCTAGGTAAGGTACAGAAAGCCCAAATCATTTCTTTCAAAGCCAAGCAAAACAGTTGGCTTAGATTCTCTAAAAATGTTTATATTATGACATTAAAAAAAGGCTGGAGAACTGTCCCAAGGCCGACTGAAGTGACACACACTAAATGCAGCAGCTAATCCTTAACTAACCCTGAATTATAGTGCGGAGCAGCTGTATTGAGACAACTGAGGAAATGTGGATACAGACTTTGAAAATAGTATTTAGTATTAAAATTCCTAAGTCTGAGTAATTATACTTGGTTGTGTAGGAAAATTCCCTTATCCTTAAGAGATACATGCTAAAGTATTTAGTTGCAAATCACCAAAACGTCTGCAACTAATTCTCAAGTGCTTCAGCAAAAACTTTAAAAAAATATAGCGAAAGAGTTGGTAAGAATGGACAGAGAGGGGAGTAAGCATGGGAGAGAGGAAGCAAATGTGACAAAATGTAAGTAACTGATGAAACTGAGTGAGGAATACATAGGTAATCATTTAATTCTTTCTGCAACTTTTCTGTAGGTCTGAAATTTTTTAAATAAAAAGTTGTAGGTTCAAAAGGAAAGGCTTTAGAAGTTTAAAATGACAAGAATGAGGATGCAAGTAAGTACCCTTATAATTACAGACTTTTGTAACTTTGACTTGCTGCTGCAGCTCTGTGCACTCACTTGCCCAACAAGCACATGCTGTGCAAATGGTACACCCTCTCCTCCCCTGATTGAGCAGGGAGGCTGGGTCCAAACTTCACAACTGACAGGAGTTGACTGCAGTAAGCACTGGGCCGGGTTGGTTTCCTGGAGCTTTGGAGGAGGTCTGCCTGCATACATTAATCTTGGGCTCTAACCTTCTCAAGTACTTCTTAGGCCTGAGAGACTGTAAAGGGGCTTGAGTAGAATGTTTTAACTTTTTTTTTTTTTTGAGAGGGCATCTCTCATATTTATTGATCAAATGGTTGTTAACAACAATAAAATTCTGTATAGGGGACTCAATGCTCAATGTACAATCATTAATCCACCCCAAGCCTAATTCTCATCAGTCTCCAATCTTCTGAAGCATAACGAACAAGTTCTTACATGGTGAACAAGTTCTTACATAGTGAATAAGTTCTTACATGGTGAACAGTACAAGGGCAGTCATCACAGAAACTTTCAGTTTTGATCACACA